AGAGGCATATCATTCGCAGAACCCGGGAACCAGATCAATGAGAATACCCTCGGTACTCTTATAACTTAAGCTCATTTAAATTCATGCCACCATCTTTTTTAATCCTTCTGTATCACTCGCCCTTTTGTGAATTTCCATTTAAATCTTGCCCTCTTTCAGGTGTACAAGTCAGAATTTGTAATTGGCCCACCTGCGGATATTATTACCTTTATGTAAATATGCTCAGAGGAGCAATAAAGAGTAACCCCTGCAGATTGAGCACTTTGTTCCTGATTATGCGTAGACTAGAAACAGGTAAGGATTTAAACTGAGTCTTCAATTCATTGTCGAAATCAAAAGTAGTGACACTGAAGACTATAGGGAGGCAGAATAGAGAATATATGACAGTGTCAGCTGTTTGTTCCTCCTTTCCACACAGCAACTAGTGGCATTCTCATGTATCTTCCCTTTGTGCAGTGCAGAGATCAGGGGCTGTCTGTCTACCACCACCCAGATGGTTAATTGTAATGGGAGCCCAGAACAGCTAACAATTAGACCTGGATGAAGATGGATGTGATTGGGGGGGTTGGGAATAGAGAGAAAAAAAGAGAAGAGAGGAGGCTGGAAAAGGCTGAGGGACTAATGCTGCTTCCTCTCCTCAACAATAATTCCCCCTTCTTTTTCCTCCTGTCTGCTTTACTTCGGTCCTTTAAGTACTGTGAAAGGAAATCTTGATTGGCTATTCAATTTTACTCTCAATTAAACATAGCCTTATTCAAAGAAATTATCTGAGGAAGAATGGATTTTTCTGTGAAATAAAACAATGTGCCGGTTTTTAAAAGATGAGGAAATGACGTTTTGCTATGCTAAATGACCAGTGACACTTGCTAAGCGGGTGGCATAATGGCTGAGGTCATATGTCATTAAGGTTACGGAACATTAAAGAACAATATATGTTATGCAGACGGTAGTAATGGGGTATTGAAGGATATGTCATGCCTGAGTAATTCATGGATCAGATGGGACATAAAAGATCACAGTTGCCATTAGCAATAAAAGAGCTGCATATACAATGGTAATGGCTCTATCATAAACCCTCTGCACACGCATTGCCATATTTTATAGTGTAAGAGATCATTGTCTGCCAAGCAAGAGTCAATGAACATTACATTAATGAGATGTTCTGTACCGTGTTAAGAGCTGAACACATGTCGGCAGCATTTGTTAGAAAAGGCAATAAAATACATTGCAGTTGCTACAGACCATAGTATAACGCAACATTTCCGCTACACGGAACGGGAGGTATGGCTTAGGGCTGCACGATATATCGCGTTGTGACGATAATCGTGATATGCGCATGCGATTAAAAAAAAAAAAAAAGTAATTTTTTTTTTAGGACTTGCGATATTAAGTAGGCAAATTAACTCAAACACGTCATGTTACGATTATTTTGCTGCTTGCTACAAAAGGAAAACTTGCGCGGCTCTCATGTCAGGGGTACTTGAGTGAGTGACATGCACACTCTGCATGCACAGCAAACCACAATCAAATCTCCAAAGCAAACGGACCCGGTGATTAAAGGTAAAAACACTGAATAAAGTAGTTTCATGTGTTTCTCCAGGGCAGTTTGGCGCTGCTAACCGAGCTAGCTCAGCTTGTTGCTCTGATAACTTAAGATCCAGACGTCCGTGACTAAAATCCTTCATCTGGTTAAATATGGTTAAAAAAATACCAATTGTATAGCATTAAAGTTCAAGAAAGGATGGTTTAGGGGGAAAAAACGGTATTTTCTTCAATTCCTGTATGTTTTCATATCGCAATATATATCGCAGGGGGAAAGAAAATCGCAATGTCAGTTTTTTCCAATATCGTGCAGCCCTAGTGTGGCTCAACTCCACTCTTTTGCCTCGCTCTTTTTTGGTTCAGTATTAGTAAAAGGAGATTTTTTTTGACCATCATTTTCTTTCTCAATCCAACCAAGACTTTTAAGATATGGCAGCCCTTAAAACCACGCCTCACAATCGAGTGTAGACATACCTCTGTTTGGTTACAGATGAAAGGATTTAGCAAGAGTCTCATTGAAGATTATATGACAGCACAGTTACTGGCGTCACTACGACAGTCAGCTTAGAATCCACCAAACTCTGAGGGGGGAATATGCATAGTGGAAAATAAAATAGAGAAAATACCTTGGTATAAAAAAGCAGTTTAGTCAAGGCTAGTCAAATCATGCAGTGAAAAATGAGGCATATATCTCATTATGGAGCTAGGATCCATTAAAGGATCTGAAACATTTAATCAGTATAATTTATTATCTGAACCAAATTACATGGCAATCTAACCAAAAACTGTGAATATTTCAATTAAAGATGACCCTTATGGTGGCACCAGATGAAAAGTCAGGGGGTCAAAAAAGTAATTAGGAATCCTCTTCTGGGAACAATGGATGTATGAATTAAATTCCAAGCCAAACCATAATAGTTTTTGAGATATGTGAGTCTGGACTAAAGTGATAGACACGTTATAATACAGTACATAGCAACACAGCTGGCATGGCTTAAAAGGCGGGGAGCAAAGGCCCTTTAAGTTACCAACCAGTAGGGACGTGAAATCAAATAATTTCCAAAGCATCATCCACTCAGAGCTAGCACAATATGTAATACAAGACATCCTCCACTGATCTTAAGCAAATGAGCTTAAATGCTAAATAACACTTAATCCTGTGAGCTAATTAAAGACAGAGATGGTGAACAGATTGCATCTCCTCAATGCTCTAAAATATCACATTTGCAAACCAATCATCATCCTTGGCACTTAAGACCTTGATTTGCCGTAGTAATAACGCTCTCAAGGATCAAGGCATCCAGGTGGGATATTATTATGAAGGCAATGATAAGGCGTTTGAGTCATGCTGTTATGAAATAGAGAAGCCTATCTGTTGGATTTATGGGTACTTGAGCAAATTGCTGACCTCACTGCGGGCAAGCCAGGAAGACATACAAGTGCCTTAGAGAGTCATTTAGTAGTGGTTAATGACGACAGCAGTGCCAGACTACGCTGGTCAGTTGGAAGGTACTTTTGGACGTGTACGAGACATTGTTCCGAGACATGTTTTGACCGTTGCAGCGCACTGCAGCTGATTTAATAACACTCTGAAAGGTGGGTTCGGACCAAGGTCTACAATTGACAGGAAGTAAGGTGCATGCACACACACATGGATTCATGCACTTAAACAGATGCACTTGCATATACAAGCAGACAAACACACACCTTCCTTCCAGCCTGCATCTGGGTGACAGCTATTTCAGGAAAGCGCACAGCATTAGGACATGCTTCGCCTCCAGCTATCCCCCTTTCTCTACCCCTCTGCTCCCTCTTTTCCTCTGGCCTTCCTCCTCTCCTCTGTCTCTTTTCTGCGTCAACACTATACATCTCGTCGGCTCCAACCTGTTTTCAATCTAGATCATTTCCCCGACCTTTCAACCCTCCTCTCCTTCCGCTCTGTGTCTTTTCGTCCTCTCACTCTTGGCTGCTCAGGAGTCCTGACAAGGTTACGGTTAGTTAAGACTAGGCAGCGGTCAGGCCACGGTCGAACTACAGGACTTTAAACAGATTTAAACTACAGCCAGGGAGCATGTGCCGAGATGGATGGCATTAATCACAGAGTGCAGGGAGAGGGAGGGAGGATGGATGGAGCAGAAATGAGAAATAAACAAAGGGAGTAAAAAAGCTTTGCTAAGAGAGGTGTGAACGAGGGTGATGAGAAAGAGGAATGGACTCTGAAGATATGTGTCAGTGTGTACTTGTCTGCCATCTCCAAACACTACTATCTATCTTAGGAGAAAAAGAAAGTGTCAGCCTTGCCTTCAAGCTGTGATTAGCAGCCCAGTTTTGTATGCAAGCCAGCTGATGCTTTACCTTGGTTTGCTCATGGACACACCAACACATTCTTTAAAGGTCTAAAGCAGGGGTGTCAAACTCAATTTCATCGCAGGCCACATTAGCATCATGGTTGCACTCAAAGGGCCGGTTGTAACTATATAATTATACATATATAAATATATAATATATATAAAATAATGTATTATATTACATTATTGCCTCTGAATTGGATTATTATCGGATAGGGTAATAACTTCGTAATTAACTACGTCTGAAAGCAGAAGTCCAGGGCATAATTGCAAGTCTCTTCATGTCACAAAACGAGATGCATTATGGGACATGGGCAAGTTTATAATTTATAGTTTATGGGCAACCTGCTTCTGTAAAGTGGCATGTAACCGTCTAATAAACATATTATAATCTTTGCAAGCTCTTGCGGGGCCACATAAAATGAAGTCGCTGGCCGGATTTGGCCCCCGGGCCTTGAGTTTGAGACCCCTGGTCTAAAGGCTGGGATATTAACCCACAAGAAGATAGTATCTTTAAATCTTCCACAGTTCAAACACACCTTCATAGAATCCATTTAGAATTACATGCCCACATGTTTTATTGCTACACTTACAAGGTTACATTCTCCTCACAAGGACAACATCATGCAAAGATGAAAAGTTGCTGATATTCACTTCTTTGACAGCTAGGTTTTACGCTCAGGTTTTTTGATGAGATTGGAGTTATAATAACATTTAGCTTTTGGAGTTAAAGGGGATATTTTGTTTCGGAGGGGGGTTGGTTATTTTACATAACATAATTCAAGTTTTTTCAAGGTCAGCGCAGGTCATTAGTTTCAATGTTGTATAATGCAAAGACTTTGGAAATAGATTTTAAATCTAGTCTTTTTTGTTGGATAACTGACTCAGACAATCTGTTCCTTAAAGACTCAGTGGGAAGAACTGACCAGATTTGATTGACAGTGACCAAACAACCAACAACCTTTTGAATCAAGCTTTGAATAAACCTTTTTTCAACCTAGCCCAGACGGGAGAGAGACCTCAGAGTCCCCCCCTCCCCCCTCTGAGGGCTGGATGTCTGGAGGTCCAACCCTCTGAGGCCAGGTTAAAAGGAAATTAAATTGTGTTCACCTGAACTTTCTGCGCCCGTCGTTTGTCTTGTCTCTGGTTCTGGTGATAAATGCGGCTGAAGTTGGACACGATGACAGGGACGGGCAGCGCAATTACCAGCACCCCACTCAGCGAGCAGATCGAGCCAAAGATCTTCCCTGCAATCGTCTTAGGAACCATGTCTCCATACCTGTGAGAGGTGAAAGGGAGAAAGAGAGAATCAACTAACCAGAACGTCTCATAATGTAAGTCTATATGTGGTAGCTCAACCTTTGATTCATGCACAGTCGACTGTAGGTCATTCACATCATACAGGAAGACACACACACACACACACACACACCCACACCCACACACACACACACCCACACACACACACACACACACACACACACACACACACACACACACACACACACACACACACACACACACACACACACACACACACACACACACACACACACACACACACACACCACACACACACACACACACACACACACACAAAGAGCTCAACTAGCAGCCCATTCATTTCTCTGATAAAAGGCTTCTCTATGCTGCACGTGTCCATCCCCTACCGAGTTTAAAGCTTGACCTGCCGACACTATCCCACCCCAGGAGAGAACGAGAGGCTCCCACCAAACGCCCCTCTGTCTCTGAACAGCCCAGCGAAGAGACTGAGAGCAGACACTATTAACCTTTAGAGAAGAGAAAGAAGAGGACACCGTGAATGCCAGGGGTGATTTAGCCCAATTCAATTTGAAATATTTGCAAGTCAAAAGCAATCTTGCATTGACTTCAAAGACAGAGAACACAATAACTATATTACCCCCGCCCCCCTGTTTTTTTTAAAAGGTGGAAGCCCGACTGCGGGAATAAACAGTGTAACTAAAGAAATTCAAAAGCTAAAAGAGCACGACTTAGGTTGGAAAAGCAACCTTTATTTCGAATGGTCTTCATTTCTTATTCATGAGTAAAAAGTGCAGGTGATTTGTTCTTGTTTTCCAGCTAAACAAGAAGTTCGACTGAATTTATTAGAACTGACTCCAAGTACCACTACAAATAAACCTTAAACAAAAAGCCTTTAAGCGTTACATATGATTAGGTAAAGAGTGATCGTGGAAAGATCTTTATGCTAACATTAATAAGTTAGCATTTCGAACACAAATCTGTTCTCCTTCATAGTGAGTCGTATAAACCTCTAACTCACAGTTAAAATAATTACCTCCTCAGTTATTGCAAACAATAACTGTCCCTTTGTATTCATAAAATCTATTTAATCGTATGAAAAACCACCTTGCTGCAGTCAGGCTTGGCGCGAATAATTAGGACGTCGTTTTTGTTGACGAAAATTATTATTTCAAACTAAAATCTAATTGAACAATTACTTCAAAGTGCTGTACATGTTGCAGTGTGCATATAACAACTTCTCTTAAGTAAACTGGCAAATTATACATGATTCATGGACACACCTAAACTGTTAACATATCTTTTGCAAATGTGCCGGAGAGGCTGACAGGCAAAGTTGCAGCAGAAGCAAAGCCAGACAGACAGAAACTAAATGTTGCAAGGGAATATGTCTCTTCTCCGGCTCGTCACACTCATCCTTGTAGAAAGCAATGTGGCGTGTCAGAAACAGTGAAAATTCACAGAGATATGCTGCTTTCAGGGAGCTGTAGTGTGAATAAACCCCGGAAAGGTGGAGTTACAGGGATGTTACGCTACCGTCATGCACTTATGGAATCACACACACTCTACACAGGACACCTCCTAAAATACCAGTTGATATATTACTATTAAGGAAGTGCACATTTAATGCCAAATGTATATATTTGTATACAGTATCAGTGGTATAATTTAGAGTACTGTAAATGTCTGTATGTATTGTATCCTGAAATTGTTGTTTTTTACTTGAGTCATTTATGTATTTAGTATGCAACTCCACTTCAATTCAGGGAGACATATTTTACATTGAACTCAACTACATTTATATGGCAGGCATTGGTACTATATATACACAGATGTACATTTTAGAACCTTTTATGAGCATATCAAATACTATGCAAGTACATTAAACTACCCAACATTATAAAATTGGTAAAGGTCCTTTGAGTGAATATCTGAATCCCTCTTCCACCACATCTTGATAAAAACGAATGCAGTCAATGTGAAGAATCCTGCTATAAAACGGACTTTCCAGAAGGTTGTAATGTTTTGTTTTTGTGAAACTGCTTTACAGACACGTTGATTCAACATCATTCTCGAGGCTGCAGTTATAGTTGCTGTTGAATTGAAATAGGTTATCATCACCTACACCTTTTTTAATCTACAGTATATCAACACAAAATGAACATTATACCTCTGGTAAATGTAGCATTCATTGCAGGAATGTTGTATAATACTGAATTAGTTAAAGCAAGTTGGACCTAATACAACAAAGTATATGTACATAAACATAAAAAACCCACATGTACATTCCTCTTCGCACTGATCTTTCATCACCACTGTAAGCTTCTGTGTGACAGATGGATATATTTTCACATGAATGCTCACAACATTAGGATGGAACAGCTTTTGCAAAGGTCCCCTGACACATTTGTAATATATATGAAAAGGCTATGTAGAATTAAAGAGTGCACATATATAATCAATCTGTTACTGCTGCAGTAATATGGCATGCATATAAAGAAAAAGGCAACTATTTTACACAATCGTGCACAGGCAAAAACATTCTATATTAAAAATTATTCTAAAACAGAAACTTGATGAATGGTTACTGCTGTGTTACTCTGTGTCACAGAGACCTGACGAAATGAGAAAGAGGCGAAGATGTGTAGAAATGATATTAACCAGTAAGAACAACCCTAACAATCGTTTTTTCAAGTGTTCCAGATACATGTTTTTAAATAGCACTCATGAAATTCATCTACTTTGACAGATCTTAGAGAATAGTGCTGGTTATTTGAGGACTTGGCAAACAGTACCAGAGGGGCTCTCCATAAATGAACACAAATCTGCTTAGGAAGTTGTGCTCTTGATAGTCTTTTCATAACCTAATGAAGCACCACTGTACTGCAAAAACACAGACACACACACACACACACACACACACACACACACACACACACACACACACACACACACACACACACACACACACACACACACACACACACACACACACACACACACAACACACACACACACACACACACACACACACACACACACACACACACGAAACCTCATACTCATTAGTCGCATATTTTGGCAAAAACAATCCCAATATGAAGCCTTTTAAATGGAGGATATAGCTTTTTCGCATCAACAAAGCAAAGCACTGCCCACACACGGTGAACCACTGGTCCGGAGCCATAACTGAGACTATACTCACAGACCACATTCATTGTCCCTTCCCAGAACTTTAATGGTCTTTCTACCCAAATTAGGCAATAACAATCCCATCAGTGCAAAGGCTCTATCACTACAAAACATTTATCTGCTCCTCTCCTCTGAAGATGTTTCCATTAGGAGGAATGAAAAGCTAAATCATATTCATCTGCATGCCTTCTTTAATGGGATCCTATCAGATCGCCTGATATAGGCCCTCCTCTCTTAATCCTACAGTCAATTTGCTGTTTCCATTTAGTCAAGCTGGCCTGTCTCTGCTCTGATGATACCATCTCTGAGACATTATACATGGCATAGAGATAAAAACCAGGCTTGCACACGTTAAAGAAAAAGTAAATTGGTGTAAATGTTGGCATGAAGGGAGAAATATTTGCTCAGCAGATGCAGTGCACCCCCGAGGTGTCAGCCCTTGTGCTCCCTGTCATGCACATATACACACCGTATGAGTTTGCTGTATATTAAATGTACACCCTCACATGCAAATGCACACACACACACACACACACACACACACACACACACACACACACACACACACACACACACACACACACACACACACACACACACACACACACACACACACACACACACACACACACACACGTCAGTCCTCGGTCAAGGTTGTCACATCCCATTGTTGGAGGGCCGGGTCTCTGCGGGTTACATTAATAAAGCCTAGCGAGGATAGATGGGGGTTATTGAGCAGGACTAAGTGCTCTTGTGAAGGTATGTGTGAGGGATTGGCTTGTCCAAGATGGTCTGAGGGATGACAGGCACACACATTTGTGATGATGGCAGGTCATGTCATGTCGTGTCAGGTCACTCTCTTAAATACCTGCTGTGAAAAACCTGACCAGCATACAAGTATCATAGAAAACAACAAGTCTGAAGGTGGAAATAATCAAGAGACTGCATTCACATATAGTGTTTGTACAAATATATATACATGGTTTGTAAAATATATGATTCTTACAGTAATTGTATTGTTTGGGTATACTATGAAAAACCTGCATGATAAAGTGTACATTAACTGATCTGATCACAAATTAAATATTTATTGATGGCAATTGTGTTCACTTTGTGGAGCACAAACCACTTTTATGCATGTGCTGCAACATCATAATGCCATTGTATTTCCATCTTCTGAACAAGAGCTTCTGTTAATAAAAGAGAGAGGTAGGCAGGAAACAGCCTTATAAAGTGTTGAGTGTTGGGGTTCCATTTACAGACCAAATCCCATGTGATCTCTGTGCAATTTTCCCAGTTCCCTTCAGATTCAGCCTAAGTGCTTCTGTCTGGACCACAATCCCTTCACCTACTGGAAGAGGCAGAGTGTGTTGTGTTAGTGAGCGGGTTGTTTGTCTACCAGGCTTGGAATTTCGCGATTTTAGGGCCAAGGCCATTTGGCCTTTGGTCTCCCGTATGAATAAGCAATACTTTGAAATGCAAAAGTCTGTGTGCTTGTGTGTACGAGAGTCTCTTTAATAAAACATTTCAACTCGAGCGTCAAATTCGCATGACGCGTTCTTGCGGTAGCCAATCAGCAGTGAGGATCTCAGCCACTGACGTTAGCACACAGAGCTCACAGCTCCTCATATATCTGTTCAGAAACTGGACAAAAGTGAAACAAGTACAAACGATAGTTACGGCTCTAACTACGGTTCTATGAGTCCCGGATGACCGCCAGAGGCGGTGCTTTAAGCACTGGATATGTCCATCGCGCGCATGCGCAGCTCGAGTACCAATAACAACAAAGTCACCTGTGACCCACGT